ATATATCTATATATATCTATATATATATATATATAGATATATATAGATATATATAGATATATATATAGATATATATAGATATAGATATAGATATCTATATATAGATATATATAGATATGTGTGTGTGTGTGTGTGTTTTACACCCTTCCCAAACTCTTGCATTATTCTAAACAATGTTTCTAAACTAAACGCTCTAAAGGAGCGCAGTTTGTCACAAACTCAGCTCCATAATTTATTTTTAATTAAAAAAAATCCATGCTGATTTTGCGGCTCATCTATCAATCAGCCAGTTGTGTGTTATGTCCAACCATACTTTGAAAACAAAACGCAATAGAGCGAGTCTGTGAAAAATGAACCACTAAGTAGCGAGGCACTACTGTACCTCTCAGCCGTCTGTGAATAACAACCAGCCATCAGGTCACTAACGATCAATCATTAGGCTGATGGTCCTCATGTATTATGTGAACAGTAATTTTTGGCTGTCACCAGCAAATTGGTTGCTCCACCTGAGTTTAGTGCAGCTCCTCAGACTGATAAAATCTTCTGGACAAAAGACGAAACGTTTCAACAATTTTATTTTATTTTTTCATCCATTCAGAGGACCTAAGTTTGTTAGATTTTGTTGGATTATTGAAGCATGCTGGCATCAAAACATCATAACTGAACATAGAAGTCTTTGTCATCAGAAAGAATTTAATACCTGTTTTACTGTCGCCTTACTTTTCTTCTGTTGTGCTTTGTTGTCATTTACGTTGCTTTATGTATCGTTCCTGATTGACAATTTCTAAATTGTGTTTTCAATCTTTGATGAATATGAATATAGACAGGTTGAAGGGCTGTGCGGCGACTGTTTGTACCCCGTGGTAACTTTAGCCTTACATCTGTTTCTGTGCTTCACAGGGACATCCTAAGGGTTGGTGTGACTTTAGCAGGCCATCAAAAGAAGATCCTGAACAGCGTCCAGATGATGCGGGCACAGATGAACCAGATCCAGTCGGTGGAGGTTTGACCCTCCTGAGAGGAGCAGAGGGGAGATAAGGCTGTTTGGACACAGGGCTCTGGATGCGGAGGATGGAGTGGATGTTTTTTTTTTTTTTTTTTTTTGCGTGACAGTTTATCTGGTCTTCCCACCAGGCTCCCATCAAGCCCCCATCCCCCTCTCCTGTTCCCTCTCTCCTCCTTTTCTCTCCCCTGTGAGCACACAAGTGTGTGTGATGAAGATTCCAGGCGGAGCACAGCCAAGCCCATCTTTAGAGCCACAAAGGGAGGTTATATGACCAGCAACTCATTTTTCACTCTTCCACCAGTTTTATTTGTTTTTCAGCATTTATTCTTTTAGTTTTGTTGGTTCTGATGATTTTGTAAAGAATTTTTTAAAGAAGAAAGAAAAAAAAACTGATAAGTAAAAAAAAAAAAGGAGTTTATCTAAATTTATAGATGATATAAGGTTGTACATTAGATGAACTGTGTAGGAAAGCTACCCTTTAAAAGGGCAACAACAAAAAAAAAAAAAAAGAGAAGGAAGAGTTGGGGAGAACGTCCTCGAGGTGTGAATACTGTCTTTGTTTTTAATGGACATTATGTGGAAACAGAGTTTTCTGTGGAGCTTCTGCAAGAAAAAAATAGGGAAAACTGGGAACTCCTGAATCTCATCCACATGGTTCCACAGATAAAACCGTTAATAATAATAAAAAAAAATAAAAATAAAGAACACTTTGTGGCTTAGACCGATGTCAAAACCACAATCAACCAGACTGCCAGTTTATGCAGTGGAATCAGTGCTGAAGAAGAAAACATTTTTTTTTCTCACTGCAAGAGATTTTCTATATTAATATTTTGTGACGAAGATCCCCTCCTACCATGCTTCCACCCCCTAAAGACTGATTTGCTTTTTTTTTTTATGTCGTTCACCATGAAATATTCACAATTTGCCAAATAGAACCGTCTCCTCCTTACACCCTATGATCCTGTACTGTACATATCAGATGCACTCGACCTGTTGTACCAACTCAGAGAAGTTATTTTATGGAGCAGAACAGCTGACTGCAGAAAGGATTTACAAAGTTGTCACCTTAAGTTGCTTGGGTTTCTTACTGTAGCTTGTGAGGATAAACTTGTCTTTAAAAATAATTATAAAGAAAAAAAAAAAAACCTGTTCTGACTTCCCGCAGAGATTTTCACAGTTGAAACAGGTTCAGCTGCTTACATCAGACAAGACGTACATTTAAAATGTCTGTTTTAGTATCCTCCCTCATGTTTTTTTTTTTTCCATCGCCGTCTGTCCATACGTGTAAAAACTGTGCACTCACACCACAGGCACAAAGAAGCAGTTGCTCTCAAAATGTCAGAGCTTGTGTTTGATAGCATGCTGAGTGGGTGGTTCATTTCAGTGCTTTGATTTGCTTCAATTACTCAATTTCTGTTTGCTGATAGTTTGGGTTTGGCTCACGCACATTGTATTTGATATTGTTTCATTTTTTCCTTTACAAAAAGGCATTTATATTCCGATTTATTTTTAAAAAGTTTCAGTATTGCACATGGTTGTTTTACATCCGCGCACAGTCAACACATTATTTACCATCAGCTCTTTGTGTTATATTAGTGCAATTTCTGCACGGATGTCATTGAACAGAATTGAATTTCCTTCGCAGTGAGTCCGTGCCGCCTGAGTCCAGCTAACTCTCTGACTCTTCCATCGTCGTTGCTTCAAATTTATTTTTGAAAACATTAAAAAATATCACGTTGCTGAACAAAACCATGTAGATAAACAGTGTTACCTTGTAACGGGTCTCGGTCTGGCCTTGCGTTTTCTTTTCCTGCCTTCCCTCTCCGGGTCTCGGGGCAGCTGGCGCCTATGTCCAGCTACCACTGTGTGAGAGGGGGACACCCTGGACAGGTCGAGCGTCCATCACTCACACATAACAATTTAGTTACCAATAAACATGCAGGTTTTTGGTTTGTGGGAGGAAACTGGAGTACCTGGAGAAAACCCGCACATTCACAGGGAGAACGTGTAACCTCCACCTTGAAAGGTCCCCAGGCTGGGAGGTGATCCGGTGACCTTTTCACGTAAAGGCGACAGCTCTAACCGCTGTGCCGCCTGTCGTGGTTTTATCCTCGAGAACGTTTTGATACATTTTGTTTTGTTCCCAGTGAGAGCTGTTCGTGCCTCCTGAGTGCAGAACTGACGCTCACTGTTTGTGCAGTCTGTTGTCAGGAGGGCTTCACGGGACGGAACAAGGAGAGCTGGGGACGCAGGAGGTTTATGCGCGCAGCCAATAAATGATGATCAGCAATGCAGAAACCCTGCTGGTCTGCACTCCGAGACAGACGTGGGTGTCCAGCTGTGAGCCATCGGTCAGATGTGTCCGATCGCAGCAGAACGACTGCACCCCGATCACAGCCGCTCTGTCCTGATAACACGCATGCCTGTCGACTTCCTGTCAACGCTTCCTCTGATCTTACTTTCACCAGTTGTCTGGTTTCATCTCAGCATGTCTGAAAGCATCAGCAGCAGCAGGCGTATTGACATCCAACAGCAGGAGTTGTGTCGTCTCGTCTTGATGCTCATGCCGCTGAGATTCCTCCAGACTGGACAATGCTTCCGTGTTTGCTCGAACCAAATCCTCAGACGCAGACCCAGGTTCTCATGTTGTCGCTACAGATGGCTCTATCGGCCAAATCTTCCTCTAAAGAACTTTATAAACCTCCATCACTGCAGAATCACGAGTCCAAGCCAGGAATAAAACAAGAACTGTGACATAAAGGTCGTTAATGTTTGGTGTTTTCACTGACCTTCACCTTCTTTGTTTAAATGTCTCCGTGCACAACAGCTCACCAGTTTCATCTGGGCTTGTCTTTTCATACCTGCCATCAGGAACAGCTCTTGACGTGCGAAGAATTATTTTCAAGTCGGTGTCTTTTTATTTTTTTCCCTTCAGGGCCGTTAAAACTCATTTGGACGCTTGTCCGTGGATGCTGCCAAGACTTTTGAGTAATTAATCAAGCGATTATCTTTGACATTCACTTTGAGGAATTACCTTAAACAGGGTGTGCCAACTGTGGTAGAGCTGAATATTGCTGAAATGTATTTTTATATCACAAATAGTCGCATTTTTGGATAAGCAAGTATCTTTTCATGGTTTTCCGTTAGTTTAAATACTTAAAAAGAAAATAAAGATTTTTTTTTTTAACCTGTGGAGTGTTTAGCAACATAATTTATTCTTCTAGTAACTAATAATTCTCATTGCATAAAAGAGACTTATCGTTGCTGTTTAGGCTCAGCCAGCAGGCCCTTCATGCTTACTTGCTTATTTCCTTCAAACAGTTTTTACTGTTGCAAACCTTCCACTTATTGAACTTGTAATTTAAGAGTGAAATATTACAGCAGCATAAATGTGCCATCTGCACATGTAGTCTTCAGCTTCCCTTGTATGTTTTTCCTCAGATGCAGTGTGGCAGTGAGCGATGCCACGTTTGCCAACTGCACTTTTTTAATCAAATCACTACTTTCTCCTTTTCATCTGTGCTGCAGTGTAAAAGCTGCTCGGCCCTCCTCCTCATTATGTGCCAATATCTGAAGGACAGAGGGAAACGGTTGAGCGTCGGTGTTAAAGCTACATGATGGTGTGCGTAAACACGAGCCGTGCCAGGCCGTACCCACTGGCCTGGATCTGAACACGACAGAGCTACATCAGGGTCAGAGCAGCCATGCTCCTCTTGTAGCAAAGAGAAAATGGCTCCTGTTTAATGGCTGCAGCGTGAAGCACCAGAGCGCCCTCTGCTGGTGAGGTGTTCAAATGTAGTTGGATTTTCAGACATTTGTTGTGTGAGCAGCAGCAGGCAGATCTCCAGTTTGGGAGACTTCAGCTGCTGATGGACAAATAATGGCTGCTGCTAAGAGCAAGTATGTGTTTTATTTCCCTCTCTGTTGAGCAAACATTCATACCACTACAGTGTCCTGTGTAACTATGTGTTCTCCTCTAATGCTCCCACCCTACCTCTCTAAACGCCCCCAAACCACCCCCTCCACCACTAGCACACTGGCTCTTGGTCAGTCCAGTCAGGGGATTTCTGCTCTGTTAAAACCCACAGAATAGACCAGTGCCGGTTCAGACCACTGTGACTGATGTGGGACATCCTGTATTTCTGTATAAATGTATATTGACTGTAACCTTGTGAATGATGTAACAATTTCATTATTTGTAATATTGTCATGGTTTTATTTTCTAAAATTGAAAAGCCCAACTTGACTCTCCTCAATAAAAAAAAAAGATCTGTTATAAAAACGGTGATGTGTAGTTTTATTATTATTATTATTATCATTATTATATTTAAATATAAGTTTGTATCATGTTGAATGGGAAAACTGCAAACAAGGCCCAAATAAATGAACATAAATTAATAAATGAATAAATAA